CCTCACAGACATTTTCAAGAGCCAGCGGCCAAATACCCGACCCAACCATGCCAAGCAACAATAATAAACAACATAACGACGAATGGTGGCTCTGACAGTTGATGTTTGCACTGGATTGAGAATTAGTTTTTTCTATGTTTCTGACTGCTTTTCCTGTGCAAGTTGAAATATTTTTGATTTAGTTGTCCGCTGTTAATTAAATAAAGCAAACTAATTTTATAAATTAAAAAAAAAAAAATCTTGTCAGAAGTGGGATTCGAACCCACGCCTACAGAGTAGACTGCGACCTGAACGCAGCGCCTTAGACCACTCGGCCATCCTGACTGCTGACCGATCGCTGACCAATGCGCCACACAATGAGAAGCAACAACAAATACGCATGTGACAAGAATGAACACATCTGCTGACTCACTGAAACGATCAGCGGAAAGCTTAAAGCTTCACAAAACTTTTTAGAGTGAACCAATTGTTTGTTAAAGAATGATATTGAATGCACATTTCGAACTTATTTTGAATTGCTATAAATAAACATTTAAGGAAATTATATCTAAAAATAAATGTTTGTTATAATTAATAAAATAGCTAAAGAAATAAAAATTATCATATATATATATTTTTTTTGTAGAAAAATGTTTATATTTAAAAGCTCTTAGCTTTAATATTAACTCACAGCATTTTAAAGTCTTAATCAATGTGGGTAGAAATCTAGCACTATGACTACAAATTTAAGAATGCCTTTTACTAGCATAAATAAAACTACAATAGAAGTGGTTGAGGAGGTGGCGCTGAGGCTGCGGGGGGGCCTTGGCACCCGGCCCGGGTGTATGTAAGTGAGACGGCAAATCAAAGTCAGTCGCGCAACCAAATGGGAAACATTGTTCTAAAACAATGAAAATACATGGTAAAATAGGAGCCCAGGGCCCAGAGCCAGAGCCCAACTGAGCCCGAGAGCTAACCAACACACAGCATGCAATAAAAGGCAAAAGTGGAATATGTGCCACAACGCTGAACAGATGCCAACGACCAGCACACATATAACAGAGCCCAAACAACCCCAGTCCATACTCGCACCCTCCCACTCCTAGTTACCCCACTGGAGAGTCCACTTGAAACTTTTGCGCTATTGTGCCCCCAAGCGTCATGTAGTGCATTTTTTTTTTTTCATACTACTACTAACTGCAGCTTCTCTGTAGACTTTTTATGTTTCGGGCTCAGTGAATCTTGGCTAGGCAGCAGTTCTGCTAGCTACGCCCACAATACAAAGCCCTCATATAGAGTGATACGTATACACATATATATGCACATAAAAATGTATATTTATAAATACGTACATATATATGTATATGTATATGTGGAGCACATGCAGAAAAATGAAAGGCTGTAAAAAAGTTTTGAAATATAATTGCTGCTGCTATTGTAAACTCCATTAAATTTATAAAGTGGGCAAAGTTTTTTGTTTTTTCATATTTTCTCTTTTCCCTTATTCCTGTTTTGTTTTTCTTTTTTTTCGCCCCTTTGGAATATGAGAGTTTACAAGCATTGATTAATAGTTTTATTGTATTATTTATATAGTAGCTGGCCATTAATTTTGCATTTTAAATAAAAGAGCAGCACTCAATTAAATATGTGGGTCGCGCCACTATATGGCCCACTGTGCAAAGTGCAAAAGCTCATGCATGTTTCATATGTATTTGTGTGTTTACATGCGCGCATATGAGACTAAATAACAATAAGAATTCTGTTTTATTTAAGCCGATTTTTATCGGTCAATTGAAGGCACTTTAAGCACAAATCAAACTTTAATTATTTTCTGTGTATTTACTCTTAATGGAGTTGTATGTAATGCGGCATTAAAGTCCATGATGAAAAGATTTCATTGTAAAGAAATTTTTGTAATTTATATTGTGTATTTTATGAATGCATAATTATTAAAAATAATGCTTGTTGATATATTACTCACACTCACAATAATCTATATATATGTCATGTTTATACACGTTCTCTACTTTTCATACTCTTTAAACCTTATATACTTTAAATACTTAAATACTTCACTTAACATACCCCATGAGTACTTTACATACTTTTATGTTTAATCCATTGGAATTAAAAAAATATATATAAAGCAACAAGAATTATAAACCAAATATCGAAACTATATACTCGTTGGCTTATCAGCCCTCAAAAAGTTTTGTGATCAACTGTCTGGCGACTGTGGAAGGTCAATGGTTAGATTAGAACTAATTTAGTGACGTGTTCACGTTTTGAGCTGTTTCAATATTTCGAAATAAAAATATAAAACACTGCGAGCCCCCATCAAGGCAAAAGCTGCCCAACAACATTGAGGCGTCAAAATGTCTCTGAGGCCCAAACCTGAGTGGAATACGTAAAAACTTGGTCGAGGCCGGCCCCAAAAGCGAAATGAGGAGCCCCAGAATGCTGAAATGTGATAGCATTTTCATAATTTTGCCATTTGGAAAATATCTCACGCATTTGCAATTATGTGCGGATTTTTCATTTCATTTCATTTCTTCATTTCATTTCATTTACGTTGCGGCCTCGCGGCTTTCGACCCGAACGAGAGACCACAGTTGGTTACATAGCCAACAGCAACCTTTTCCTATAAAAGAATTTATATATGTTTTTATTTTTCTTCTACTTTTTTCCTCTTTTTTTTTGGCATTGTTGCCTGTTGCCTGCTGGCTGTTTGCACCATTTTGTTGCACATTTATGCGCAACCACATTTCAAAAGCATAAAATTCTGCAGTTCTGCTCGGCAAAAAAAAAAAAAAAAAAAAAACGAAGCATAGAAATTGGCGAAGAAAACTTTGCTCATTTGCGCGATTTTGATTTTTTTGTTTCAGCTATTTTTTTGTTCTTGTTCTGCTGCTGCCTCAACTAGCAAAAATAAATTAAGGAATAGCACACAAAACAACAAATTCAAAGTATGGCAAACTTTTCATTGCTGGGGTAAGCGTTAACACCCAAGTAAAAACATTCAATATTTTAATAAAAAAGAAACTTTTTAGCAAAATATCGCGCATACTATAGAAAAAGCCGGCTGGAGGCGTATTCACTGAAAGTCGATTATAAAATACCTTATATAAATGGAATTTTATAATTATATTTAAAGAATTAATGATATAAAAAAATATATATATTTTAAATTAAATGCGTGATTGGAATTTCATAATGAATTTAAAGGCATTTTTGCTATAAATACAAAAGGTTTATAATTAAGTTAAAAAAGTTAAATGAACTAAATTTGAAAAATACCATAATAAACAAATTTTTTATTATCAATCAAGTTATCTCAGCCTACGTATAAGCTGCATAAAACAAAATACCCAGCTGACTAGACTCTCAACACTGGGTATACCAAATACTTTATACAATTTCGTTTTTGTTAAAAATATATATAAATATTTCACACGCTTGTTATAAAAGCGAGAAAAAATATGTTTTTCTTCTCCTTCATTTTTTGTAGTGTTTTTTACACCCGAAGTTAACGCCACACCCCGCCCCCGCCCCCGCTCTCTCCAGAAAAACTTGTTATTATTTTATTGTACAAGCTATAGTTGGCAACAATTTGCAGCGTATTCCCACGAAATGAAAATTCCTCTTGAGCCTCGCCATGAAAATTAATTGCGCATTTATTTGAGTGAGTTTTGGTCTTTACCGGAAGACTTCCTTACAACTGGCTGAGTTTTGTTTCACGCTTTGTTATTGCTCAGCGCTTACCTTACGTACCTCTCTACCTTGAACATTGCAATGACAGCAGTTGCTGAGAGGAAGAAGGTGTTTGAGGCAAACGAGAATGCTCAAACAATGGAATATATATGTATATGTATATACATACATGTATGTACGTATGTATGTTTAGATGGCAGCGAACTTTTGTGTATTTGCATTGAGGGGCAAACCTAGGCTAATATATTATTAAATTAATATTATTTTAAACAATGTTCAGTTGTAAAAATAAATATTATTTCTAATTGTGAATGCTGAACCAAAAATATGATAAAGGGCATTTGAGCAATATATTTATACATAATAAAAACTTTTGTAGAATAGACGAAGAAGCATTCTTATAGGTTGTTCAGGCATGGCAGCCTTATGTATACAAACATTAAATATATTTCACATACATAACTATTGCAGCTCAATAATAATGTCTAAGGCAATGATCAAATGAGATCGGTATAAACAAATTACAGAGGAATCCGGATATAACGACGTTCTCTTGAGACACTAGCCGTATAAGTTTGCTCATATAAGTTTGGCTGTCGACCAGAATTTTTGTTGCTATAACCGCACGGACTTTATAACCGGATTTTACTCTAGTCCTCATTCATTTCACTGTACAATTTTCTACTTAGGCACAGCTTCTAAAGTTAATGTGCGTCAAGTTTTAGTACTTGCACTTATTTGAGCAATAATATATATGTATATGTATATATATATGATATAAAAAGTACAGTAAATAGTTATATTCAAAACATTAGCTATCAAGCTATCAGCTAATTAAGAATGTGCAGTAAACAACTTTCTAAACAGCATAGAAACAGTTCTAGAATATTTGCGTAGAAATGACATCTCAAAATCAAATACAACAACTGAATGCCACAAGAATCATATCAGAGTCGAAATATATGTATATATTGTGATTATCGCCGCATAGCGTCTGAGAGTCGACGAGTGTCAAATTTATAATAATTATTATTCACGACATGCTGCAGTCCGTATAGCGATTACACAACTTTGATATTGGCAGCGACTACGTAGGAGCTATGCACTTGGGGTTGCCGGCTTGGGCTTATCGCATCTGATCCAGCGTGCAATTCAGGGCCGGGGTAGGTGATAAGTGCGAATCGGACTGCACATAATTGGTAATTAAATTATGATGTTTGCTATTTTTGGCTTCGTCATGACAATTGTCTGATGCTGATATGGTGCAGTGCCGGACTTGATCGGGTATAAAAGGCCCAGCTGCAGCACGGTTAGAGCAACAGTCTTTAGGTGTTTGGAGCTGAAGCATACCAAAGCCGGAGCAGTAGAATTGAACGCAACGAGAATGAAACTGACACTAGTCCTTCTTGCCCTCGTGGGCTGTGTGGCCGCATTCAGCGTGCCCACCTCAACAAAGGTGAAGATTGCCGATGCTGAGTTCTTGAAGAAACAACAGTTCTTCTTTGAAATTCTCTACCGCGTAGAGGATCCGTTGATGTTCGAGGAGTGGATCAAGATGGGACAAAAACTGGTGGTTGACAAGGCACAATACAAGGTAAGTTAAACACATCGAGTTCGAGCAATGGAATGGAATCCATTGTTATAACATATTTTGGTCTGCCTGCAGGAGTATGACTTCTATATGGAGAAATTCTACGAGTCCTACAAACTGGGTGCCTTGCTGCCCAAGGGTGAATTCTTCGGTGCCCTGGTCAAGACCCATTACAAGCAGGCTTATGGCTTGTTCAACTTCTTCTACTACGCCAAGGACTGGGCAACCTTCGTTAACAACGTTGCATGGGCTCGCATCCATGTGAACGAGGGCATGTTTGTCTACGCTCTGACCCTGGCTGTCATCCACAAGCCAGAATTGGAAGGATTCATTCTGCCCCAGATCTATGAGATCTTCCCGCAGTACTTCTTCAACAGCAAGTTCGTGTACGATGCCGAGAAGTTCGACTATGATGTGTGGAGCAAGCTGATCATGTACGAGAAGGAGTACAAGGATATCCTGTACAAGGATGTTAGCGAGTTCAGCGACAACTTCTACTTCTACACCAAGGACTGGAAGACCTGGCAGTGGTGGAAGATGATGGGTCTGGGCGAGCACTTCTACGTTGAGGATAAGTTCTTCCTCCGTGAAAACGTTGCACAGTACAACAAGGATCCCAAGTATGCTCAAATCATGAACGGCCTCTACAAGTTCTACATGCCCGTCGACTATACCCGCGACATTGACTTCTTCAACGCTGAAAGCAAACTGAGCTACTTCACCGAAGATTTGGGCTGGAACGCCTACTGGTACTACCTGAACATGGACTACGCTTTCTTCCTTGATGGCAAGCAGTTCGGTTTGGACAAGGATCGTCGCGGAGAATGGTGGATCTACAATGTTCAACAGATTCTGGCCCGCTACTACCAGGAGCGTTTGGCTAACGGTTTCGGCGAAATCCCAGAGTACTTCTGGTACAAACAGGTCGAGTATGGCTATGATCCTCAGTTGATCTACTACAATGGCATTGGCTACAGCTACCGCAAGAACTACTTCGAGTACCAGACCTACGGCAAATTCGATATGCTCTACCAGATCCAGAACTTCTTCAATCGCATCAACGATGTGATTGAGACCGGCTACTACAAGACCGCCGATGGTGTTGTCATCGATTTCCGCAAGCCCGAGGCCATCCAATTCATTGGCAACTATCTGCAGGGTAACGTTGATACCTACGACAAATACTTCTTCAACTACTACTATGTGCTGTCGCATATGTACTTCGCTGATGTTGACTACTTCGACTTCGAGGTCTTCCCCAACGTGTTCCTCAACTTCGAGACCATGTTGCGCGATCCCTTCTTCTACTCGTTCTACAAGAAGTTCACTGATGTCTTCTACAAATTCAAGTTCTATCTGGCACCCTACACCAAGACTGATCTTACCTATGAAGGCTTCAAATTCATGGATGTGTCCGTCAGCAAACTGGAAACCTACTTCGACTTTGTGGACTTTGACGTCACCAACCTGCTCAACGACAAGATGACCTTTGTCGATGGCAAGTTCGTCTGGGACAAGACTCTCCTCGCCCGCCAGGCCCGCCTTAACCACAAGCCCTTCAACTTTGAGTTCAACATCGTATCCGACAAGGTGCAGAAGGGTGTTGTTCGCGTCTTCCTGGGACCCAAGTTCGACGAGTACGGTCGCGTCATCCCGCTGAAGTACAACACTCAGAACTTTGTGCAGATCGACAGCTTTGTCTATCCCTTCGTTGCCGGCCAGAACACCATCAAGCGCAGCTCCAAGGAGTTCACCTGGACCGCTGAGGACCGTATCACCTACACCGAGCTCTACAAGTACGTCATGCTGGCCAGCGAGGGCACCTACGACTTCCCATTGGATCTGAGCGAGCCACACAACGCCTTCCCCGATCGCCTGGTCTTGCCACGTGGCTGGGAGGAGGGCATGCCCATGCAGTTCTACTTCTTTGTCTCGCCCTACACCGAGAACTACGAGCAGTTCTCCAACTTCGACTACACCTACCAGTCCGGCGTTGGCTCCGGCACCCGCTTTGTTGACAGCAAGCCCTTCGGCTATCCCTTCGATCGCTCTGCCGAAGAGTACAGCTACTTTGTGCCCAACGCTTTCTTCAAGGATGTCAAGATCTACTATGTCGATCAGTTCGCCAAGTACTTCGAACAGAAGTATGACAACTACGGTACGTTTGACTACTCCATTGTGTACTAGAAGATGCCAATCGATTTAGCTCATAAGTACATTGTAATGCAACACCAAAAAAATCAAACCAAAAAAATGAAACAAAACTCAAATCTAAGAACAAGACCGAAATGATAAACACCAAGCTTTCAATAAAAGTATGTCAAGAATATAAACAAGTTTTTGTCTGTTTATTTGATGAATAGTATCAGAGAAAAGTAGTTAAGAAAAGGAACCAAACCTTTTGAGTATCGAAGAATTTTTTAAGGAATGGAGCATCTGCTGTTGAGTAAGTATAATCCAAACTGAAATATATATTATAAACAAAAGCTTCCAATGTCCAAAAATTGGGAATAAAAAAGGAAAATTTATACATCTATAATAAATTACATATCTTTAATATGCACAAGTTAAATACAGAGGACTTCAGGCAAGAGCAGAGACATTAAATTGGATTCGTCGTAGCCGCCTTATTGCACACAACAATAATTTGGGGTAAAACCATTTTCGTCGAATGACGGACAAACTGCGCGACCACTCGATCCTGTGGCTATCCTCGGCAATTGCTGTCTCTGTTGCGCTCGTTCTGATTGCCTGTGGAGGCAATGCTGGTTAATGTGTCATTCGTACCGCAAACTGTTGCAACGTCGTTGCTCTCTGATTGCATTCGAATCGAAATCAACCGCAAAAACTAATAATAAAGTTCAAATGTTAAATGTGGCACAACGAGAGGCTGGTGCACCGCCAATACAACTAGCACCACCCCCAATGACAATTCGATAACAATGCGGGTGAGTTACTCGATATACACACACACGAACAGAGAGACTTGTGATTGCCCATTCCGATTGTAATGTAAATGAAGTTATGCTCGGCGGCTTTGATGTGGCGCCCAATTGCCGCCCATTTCGCAATTGAATCATGCAAGACACAAGTATGCCCCATTGCCAGTGCGTTATCTGAGCCGATGTGGCAACCTGATTCGGTAACGATAATTTACAGTTATGCCAACCCAATGCCAGCACGCGATTATTGCCATCTATCGCATCTGCATACGCAGTCAAATTCGTATTCGCATTCGCATTCGCATTCGCATCCGCATTCGCATTCGCCATCGCAATTCGCATTCGCATTTGCATTTTTGGTTGGAAACAGCAGCTGATTACAGATTGCACATTTGTATTTTCGGTTTGGGTTTCGGGTCTGAGCTGGATCGTTCTTTGGTTATGAGCCTAATGTTGTTTGCTGTGTGTGGGTGCGAGACAAAGAGAGAGTGGAGTGAGTAGCGTGGTTCAATTGATTGCGGTCCATCTATCTGGAAATTAAGGCTAGCACAGCGAAAGGCATTTTGAGTGATAGAGGAAATTGAACTACAATTTAAAGCGATTATTAAACCAAAATATTGAAATGCAAAGATCGCTTTATAAAATCGGTAATCTTTAAAATCAGGAGCAACAAAATAGCTACAGTTCTTTTCCACCGTCCGACTGGTAATTCCGTTACCTCAAGCCACTCAAGTACAAACAAATATTGAAGCAAAGAGTTTCGCATTTCAACTTAATTGAACTCCAGCGAACTATCCGTCAATATCATATCAACGTTGATACTCTGTGTCATCATCCATTAAAGTTCATCCCGCTGATGTCGTTCATTGTTAAAGGCATCAAATTTCAGCTAAATGACTTTTGTGCAAGTGCCTGACGCGAGTTGTTGGCTCGCCTCGACTTTGGTGCGACTTTTAGCCAGACAATATGAGAAACATAAATATATGTATATACATATATATGTATGTATATATGTATATACACGTATCTATTACAATTACTTGAACGGAACGCTTGAGGCTGTGCACAGCATGCCATATTTTATGGCCCGTTTCATTCGCCCTTTTTCCTCAATGAATGCTGAGCGCTGTGCGGCCCTGGCAACGTGGCTAATCAGAAATAGTTCCCATTTTCCCTGGCGCCCTGGTCAGACAAGCACCCGGTCGACTTAGTCGAGCTTATCCAGCTGGGCATGTCTGTCTAATGCTGATGCTGTCTTGTTGCCCATGTACTTTGTGTCTACAATTTATTTCAGTCATTTTAATTGATACTGTCCCGTTGCTGCTACTGCTGCTGCTGCTGCTGCTGCTCCTGCTTCTTCTTCTTTTGATGGTGCTGCTGTTGGCTGAAGTGCAGCTTCTTGTTATTTGTAACAATTAATATCCAATATCTGAGCGCTGCCATCATTAGTTTTTGCCAGCCCCATGGCCCACTGTCTGCTCGGTGGATATCTCACTCGCTGAGAACTACAAAAACTGATGATATCAATGAACGAGCTATAACAAAGGCAACATCCAGGACTAAGTAGGCAAGGAGTCACCCATGCTAAAAGAGCGAAACAAAAAAAAAAAAGCGAGAAAAATGAAGAAAAAAAGAAAAACGAAAGACGATTCCTTGTTGTTGTGGTTGATATTGTTGTTGTGTCAGGCATTGATGCTGCATTTGACAGACCATTTATCATCGCACTAATTGTGTATCATTAAAAAAAAAAAAAAGGAAAAAGGGCGACGCGACAGGGCGCAGCAGCGCCGATGTTAATCCAAAGGCAAAAACAGGCTCAGCTCGCAGCGAACGATGTGGCACAGCCTGACGCTGACGCTGACAATGGCAACGCCACCGGCGACGGCGACGGCGGTAGAGGCAGCAACGACAACATCCATGACAGTGATAGAAATCTGTGGCAAGCAGATTAAACGTGTTCGCCGACAGCAGAAACTGCTTTAGCGGCTGAGCGGGGTAAAATCAGTTGGAGCATAGAACAGTATTTGTCGCTGGCATACGGCCGTTGTAAAAGTCAGTCATGATTATCGCCACTTAGCCACCCGCTAAGCAGCACGACCTCCATCCCATCCCATCCCAAACACACATACACAATGGACTAAGCACTTAATGCGAGTCGTTAAAATCTTTGAAAATGAATTCAAGGTATTTGGGTAATATTTGGGAATTAATTGAAATTAAAGTTTGATCAGTTGGTATCCTAAAAAATTGGAGAAAAATACTTTCGATTTCGTAGATATTATTTATTAGCGAAAAATCAGAAAACTGTTCAAAAAATTTTTTTTTTAGCCTGACTTTTAATCAACGCTTTATACAGTCGAGTCCCGATAGTTCGAATGGTAACGGTAATGGTAAATTATTGAGAATGATCGAGAACGACTTTTTTAAAGGTAACAATTTTTGCGATTTATTACCATTTTTGATTTAGTGGGTTCTAAATTATCGAGTCTCGACTCTTTATATTTTAAAAAAATAAAACACAGATAATATTACTATTTTTTTTTTAATTTTTAAATTTTCAGCTAATAATAGTAATAATAATATATTTCAAATGCTCGGAAAGTTTTTATCTACCTCATAAAACATATTAAATTGGATATTATATATGAGCATAATTATATTCCAAACTCGAAACGCTTTAGATTTTATTTTATTCTTATTTACGTCTTCAATTCTGCTTTTAAGATGCCTAATTTTTATGTATTTAACACTTAATAATAATAATAAGAAAATAATAATTAAATTTTTCTGCTAATCAACTTAACTTAATTACTTTCGTTCTCTCTTAGTATTAAGTGCTTAACAAGTACTTGCAAATATTTCTCCACTTCTTCAAATTAACCACTTCAATTAGGTATATTATATCTCGACCACCTTGAGCACTGCCAAAACACTCAATCGTCCTACAGATAAGTTATTCAATTGATAGCAATTGTGGTCGCTTTTCGACAAAGTTCCGGCTTTGTGGGCATGTTTTGGTATAAAGTGCGCCAGTAGACATATAAATGGTATCGATAATTTGTAAGCTGTCAAAGCATGTCAACTCGACTATATCCGCCCCACCGTGCGGCCAAACGAACCGGAACGACATAACGACAGACAGTTGATGAGTGCAGAACAGAGACTAATGAGAAGCGTGCGCCATGAATTCCGATAAATGGCTAACACAGCTGCAAAATCGCTGATATAGATAGTATCCGCAGTATACATATACATACATATATACAATACAATCTATATATAGCATTTCCTGCCTTGGCGCCATTGTAGCCGCCCACACGCGCAACTACATAATAATAATAATAATAATAATCATAAAAATTCAAAGGCTTTCCATTCGGACAATGATGATGGATTACGGCTGTCAACTAACCAGCTCCCCCGCTCACTCTGCCTCAACCTCTCTCGGTCTCTCTCACTCTCCCTCTCTCTCTCCCTTTCACTCACTGACTATTACCTCCTGGCTGTGGCAAATTCTCTGACTCATTCATTGTGCGCCTGATGAAAATGTTAATGTCGTTGCCAATCACTTTGTTAATCCATCCGGTGTGGGTTAGTTGATTTACCCGATTTACCCCACTCCCTGCACACACACACACACACACACATCTGCTCCATTTGCCTCTATCTGAAGCTGTAGTAGAAAATCGACAAACAATTAAGCGCAGCTTTCCACGGCATTTCGCGTGCTGATGAATCGCTAAATTACCGGCCAGCAAATCAAAGGCGACGCTCCGGCCGAGTGGAGCCAACCCGCCAAGCCCATACGCAAGTTGTCACGTAATACATACTAATTAATATTGATATTTTCCCCATTTTTCTGCTTAGTAATGAGTTTTTGATAGATAAAGTCAGCCAGTAAATACCGAAAATCAGCATGAAAGACAGTTTTGCCGCCCATCCAAAAATTCCTATTGCCATTTGTTTGGTTGAGTTTCATAACGAGGCGTTAATTGAAATGCCTGAATTGCAGCGTTGAACTGGGCCAAGATGAACTTTTAATGAGCTAAATGAAAGCAATTGAAGGTGTTTGGCTAACTTACGTAATATTATGTGAATAACAATGTGCTCTATAAGACAAGGTTTGACAAGTCGAAGCATAACTCATGGCCTGTCTTGGCCGTGGCCAATTCCCTTAACTGGCCCAGAATGACAGCTGCGTGTGGAAGTTATCTGCGTCAGACTGTCATAATTAGATTATTATGATTGGCCAGTGTTGCAAAATCTGTGTGTGGCAAATTAAAAAGCCCAACACGTACGCAACAAAACACAGAACTAGAAGAAG